ATTTAAAAGAGTCGATCGTCAGATATTGTCCAAGATTAACCTTCAAGGTGGATATAACTCACTCACACCGATGACCTATCCACATCAATATTTACCTAGAATGCTTTGTGTGTAAATAAAATGGCTCTGTCCGTGTTGAAATATATTTTTAAAAATTTACAAAACTAAACATCCTACAGTATTTTTACAGTTAAAATATATGTTTATCAAAGTCTAATGTTACAACTAATCAGGGATCCCTAAGCAATTGTGGTTGTACATTTTAATGAGCATTTCCTTGAATGGTTCCTTGTTGGTGTAAAGTTCGTCCCGTGCTTCTTGAGATATTTTGCTAACAGATGAATCATGATCAGAGTTTGTGTTGAGTATGACACCAAATACTAAGTCAGTAGCAGTAAAATTGACTCAGTTATAGACATTTGTACAATTGCTCACAGGTTATGGAATTTGAAGGTCATTTGGTTCATGAGGTATTTTGCAAACATACAAATGCATTCTCTTGTAGGCAAAAACTTGGTTGCTTTTTTTCCCCATTGGTGGTGGTCAATCAGCTTGGGTAAAAAGTGATGTATGTAATTGTTTTTTTCTGTTCTTTTTAGGGTTCAGCAGCCAGTGGGACAGGAGAACTCACTGCAGACATCACATCAGGATCTAACCAGTGAAAACTTGGATCTGTTTCGGGCTTCCTAAAGCACCTGCTCTTCAGCGTTTTAAGCATCTAACTGTAGCCAAACCAACAGCCTCGTCTCATTAATAGTTAACTGGTTCTTAAAGGCAACTTGTGTATCATTGTAATTTACGACCAAGTCTCGAAGCTACAACATCTTTTCATTGAATTTACACAAGTGCCACTGCAGAGCTTTTTATAACAACTATTGATTCARTCGGACGCTTGTGAATAATTTACACATCTCAACATCTGATTGTGTTTCCAAAGAAGTCTCCGACAGAGTTGTACACTATTAAGTCCACAGTTTCAGGATGGTGGAGCCACAGATTCAGGCCACCGGCATGGCCGCCAAGCTCAGGAACCAGTGGGATCGCGACCAAGGCCTGGGAAGGAACGACAACGCAGTGAAGTTTCTGAGTCAGGACTTTGAGTCTCTCAGAGCTCAGTGCCTTCAGAGCAGGAGACTGTTTGAGGATGACCTGTTCCCCGCTTCTCCAATGTCTCTGGGATTTAACGAGCTCGGTCCCAGATCCGCCAAAACCTCCGGAGTCCGCTGGATGAGGCCCACGGTAAGAAAAAGAAATCGGGAAAACTTGGCTTTGAAGCTGCTGGTGTCGTAACTTTTAGGAATTACAGAAAGTGGAACAACATTAATATCAACATCTAGCTTGTGTTGTGGCACGTACAGATACGATGCAAGGGCATTGATGGATGAGCTTTGAACAGATCCAGTTACAAGAAAAACGATGAACCAAAGGCACACGTTTTTGCACTTATGAAATCCAGCTGTTCAACACTTACAGTATTTAGAAGATGCAATGCAATCATATCTATTCCTGCTTAAGTTTACATTATGCTGGAAAACAGATTGTACTACCAATGAGCAGCCTGTGTTAGGGAAGTTTGTTTTGATTGATTGATGATGATGCCTTTTATTTTCATTGTACAGAGCACAATGAAATTACATTTAAGAATTAACATGGCAAGGTTGCAGTTGAGAACTTTAATTTTGTGGCACTACTATTTTACTTTTTCTTCTAGTGCCCTATTTGCACATGAACAATCTCTGGAAATGTTTCTGTATTTGTTGTGGGAAAAAAAGCCATAGGTTTAGTAATTCTGTGCTTATTGAAGCTGCTGTAGTTTCCATGCCAGGTCAYCTGCTGGTGCTGTGATTTTTGCATTTCAGTAGCCGTGTTTCCATCAGCATTTTTTTAATGCGCATTTTGAAGTATCGCATCAGAAAAGGTGAATGGAAAAGGCTTGATTGGGGGAAAAAAAGGTTCCTCTAATTCACAAAAAAGTTGAAACACTCGCTTGAGGTGGGTTTTTACTGCTCAAAAGGAGAGATGGAAAGACATTTGCCCAATCAGTTCTGACGTAGCGAACATTTACCTCACTTGTTGATCAACTGTTCTCGCTGTCTGTCCGGTACCGGACCGGTACCAGAGCGACTGGCAGCAGGACCCTCCTGCCGCTGTCGGTGTATTCTCAGTTAATCCCGTAACGTGAAGAGAATTGCATTTCTTTCTCTACATCTCCAGACAGAATGTAACATCGCCAAAAATAGTTGATATGACAGAATGAGGACAACTTTCCCGACAGTAGCAACACGTTTCAGATAACTTCTATCCATTGTCCTGAGATGTGTAGTCCCAGTGAGTTTGTGTGCGTTTTTTACTTCCTGTTTACTACACACATGCATCTGGTGTAATTGATTCGCTTCAAGCCAGTTGATGGAAACACGTCTGATTCGCATTTCTTCTTTTTTCCTTTTTGCGAAATTTAAAAAATTTGCTTAAAATTCAAATTAAAATTGGATGGAAACACGGCCAGTGACATTCATATGTGCAGAAGTAAATAAAAAATGTGGTTTTAAAGCCATTGTGTAATTAAGTTATAACTCAGTAAGTAATTGGTATTGGGGAGTACCCAAACTGAAGAACTCGGTTTAAGAAAAACTGCATCAGGACATGTCTACTGATAATCACATCCCCAATTTAGAACTTCAAGTGTAATTTCTTGGCTTCTCTCTCTCTCTGTCTCTCTGTCTCTCTGTCTCTCTGTCTCTCTCTGTCTCTCTCTCTCTTTTTTTTTTTCAGTTTGTACAATACAGTACCGGTTCAATCCTAAAACAGCTGTGCTAACTTTTTAAAGGTTGTGAGTAAAAACCTGCCAACAAAGACAGAATCAGCGCATTCTGTTTCTTTAAGTCAGTAGATAACGACTTTGTAGCAGTTTTGGTGTGAAAGTATTTTTTTGTTTTATCACCCCCTAAACTGTCTTTCCCCACAGACTGACTTTCATCTGTTGCCAGGCAACTACACTTCCAGTCAGGTTGATTGGTAGTTTCACTTTTCATGTTTAAGCAAAAACCCAAGTTAGCAGCTCCTTTTCCTCCTGTTCAGGGATTTTAAAGGAGAGAGTCTTTCGTCTTTGTTCTCGTCTGACTGCAGAACAGTACAGTTCTTCTTTGTTTTTGTTCACGTCACCCTTTACTTTTTTTTTTTACTCTACTATAAATACACCTGAGCTTTCTTTGTTGCTGAGGATGTCCCAAGAGAATGAAGTGAGACTGATTCACAGCAGCCCAGCAGACAGCACACTCTTATTTCTGCTGGATTTGCTCATACTGTCATGGTCTTGGAGGTGGAAGAGGAGCCGTGATCCTCTGAGCTTCGCAGGGTTACAATCGTCTGCGTGACTGCAGCCTATTAGAGCCTCTTGCAGTTTCCATTTGAGTATGTTGACCACCAAATGTGCATGAATATGCCATTGACCTGTGTGTCTGTGTGTGTAACTGTCAGCTTTAATGTTTCCTGTGGTCTTGATTTTCCCCACCCCAAAGTGAGATTCTTCATAATATATTAGATGATCTGTAATATTTATGCAGCATAGATATAGTCAGGGTAGACACTTCTTACAAAAAAAAAAAAAAAACTCTGCTCTGTGAGCCAAAGAAGTGCTCAGGTCTTTGTGTTTTGTTGAATTCGACCAAGTCTTTGTTGCGCAATCATGGGAAAATGAGGACATAATAAAAATGGTCTGGTCTTAACCCGGTTCTAGATATACTCAGATTTAATTACTTTAAATAAAAACAGACAATAGATTCTATTAGGTCATTTATTAAACAAAGCCAAAATGAAAATGCTGTGTATATAAAAAACCCCACCCTTGTTGCTTCTTTAGAATTTAAAAGGGGGAGTGCTGCTGATCAAATGTATGATTAAACTGATGATCACTGTGTGAGCACGTCTTTTAAAAGCAGGAGTTTGCTAAACTGGAGCGCATGTTGACACAATGCCAAACAGGGAGGACAGCAGCAATGACAGAGATTCAACTGTTGTCCATCAGTCTGGAAAGGAGTAAAGGTCACCTCCGAACTAACAAGAGAGAGAAACAAGTAAAACGTGCAGGGCTGCGGCGCTCAAGGACCAGGATTGCCCACCCCTGCCCTGAAGTCGGTGGCGGATGCTGGTCTTTCAAGGAGAGGAAGCTCAGTTTCAGCCTACATAATAAAATGTTTGGGTTATAAATTCTACCCTCCGTTCCTTTTCAAGATAATGATCTGTGACCCTGTCACAGATCGTTTTTTTTAGTTTATAGTATTTATTCATTTCATTTTAAAAAACAAAACATTACAAACAACAAAACAATACAAAATAAAATGAAAAGCAGCAGAAGAAAAATATCTTATATCTGCTCCTATTTACAAAAAATATTCATTTCAAACAATAAACCAAATAAAACAAAAAATTAAACTCCTCAAACAGTGACTCATACAAATTAAACAATTTCATATTTCTTTRACAATTTTGCTTTGATTTTTTTAAAAGGAGTTAATTGATCCAATGCTTTTATAATCATTTTCCAAATTATTCTATAGTCTTTTACAGCAGCTAGCTCACTTTGTTATAGCAGGACAGCTTAAAAGACCTGTTATTTCCCCACTGTGGGATCAATAAAAATGTTTTTTTTTTAAATCTTACCCCACCTTTTGCACCAAATTAATCTGAGGAGTTGATCAGCCCTGCTGTTTAACTCTTTTTTTTTTCTTTGTAAACAAGACTGTATCAAATGKCTTGGCCAAAATCTGGTCCACAACATTCAAACTCTCTGCCATTATGTGCAGCTTGCTACCTAGCTAACTCGCTAGCTGGGACTGGCRCGAGGCTAGAGTGAAGTGTGTCCTCCTGTGAGTGCTTTGTGACGGCGGAGGGTTTCAGCAGCACCCGCTGGACAGAAACTGTGATAGACGTCAGAAAGTGATAGAAGTCTGTCTCCAAACACAAGCAGATACAATAAAACCCACCAGAAATAAAAACTCGATTTGTTGCTAGTCATTTTTAACAAAGAAAATGCAGCTAAGAGGATTAGGAAAATATCTCCGTGTTCAGCTCAGAACAGAAACGAAACTAAAAACTGCTCCCACTGAATGTTTACACCAAAACATCTCTGATTCACTCATTTCGCTGTCAATCAAAAAAGGGATTCAGGCTCAGACAGATCATCCAATCATCATGTAGAATCTGGGCGTCCGAACTCGCCCACTGCTCCAGAGACGCTGAGCGTCTGGGGGCGGGACAAAGCCCAGCATTTGTCCAATGACTCGTCTCGTTTCGCTGCATTTTTTTGCCTCAATATTGAAGACTGTGGAAGCTCAGTGTCCGACTGTTTAAAGCACTGTGAAGCTGCGGGAATGAGGGAGAGGAAAGCTGCGTCGTTACCAGTGATAAGAAGCTGATTCTGAACAAAAGTTGAGTGCGTTGTAGCGCATATTTAGTCAATGACATGAACACACAACAGTGTATTTTTGATCACTTATTTTTTACATTTTAGGGGAAGCTGAGCCTCCCTTGCAGTCTTAGAGCAATCGCCTCTGCCTAAAGTCAAACTGTTATAATCAGAGAGGGAAAAAAAATCGTAAGATGCTGCAGGACTTGGTTATCAGAAGAAACATGATGACAAATCGAACAAGTAGTGTAGTTTGTTTGGAAATGTCTCCATGCCCTGGTGGCAACTCTGCACTTCCTGTTTTCTACTTCTTTTAACTTCTGTTAACTTAGGATTTGTCATTTAAACATGGATGTGTTTTTGTATCAACAAAAGCCTCTGAATCTAGGCTAAAGGCATTACATCATTACTACATCCACCAAACTGTTAAAACCACAAGCAGTTCAATCCAAAAGTAAATGAATTGTACAAAATGTTAACGCAAATCTGTACATATGTTTTGATCTTTGATGTAATGAAATGCAAGTCGAAACAAATACCAAAAGATGTTCTAAAATGTTTTGAAATATTTTTTAAACTTGATTTTGAGTAAATCTGCAGCATTTGGAGTAAAAAATAATTTGTCATTGTTTTCTACGTATAGGGTTAAAACTAAATGTGTTGGTAATTGATAAAAGAAATCACAAATCATTTCATGCTTGTAAGAAAAAAATATTCTGTCACTTTATATAATCTGTTAGAATTACTCTTGCTCTAGTTCAGTTTAGCAGCTTCGTTTTCTTTCTTTATTTTTATCATTTTCTTCTTACTTTTTTTTACTTCTGATGAAATCTCAAGCTTTATTTTGAAAGAAAAATTATTTAAGTAGAATTTGTAAATGCTGAGTAACACTCACTTACATTCAGACATGTTATTTCGCGTATAAACGTCAAGAAAACCTTGTGGCTGAAGAGGTTGGTTTATGCTTCCTCAAGACGTGAGACAGTGGATCAGTGACTACATTTTGTTTTCTTACTGAGATCTTATACTCTCGTAGAAGACGTGAGGGATAAATCATTATAATCCCTCCCACAGCACTCCCAATGTATCATACATCATTCATAAATAATTGTATAAAGAGACTTGTTGTTGGATGAGATGTCGAAGGAAACTTGTTTTGGAAAGATGTGATGGTCTGATGCAAATTTCATTTCACTACTTTTAACAACCCACTTCTGACCGCCAACTATTTTCAACAAAATTGCGTGCAAAAGGCTAAAACATGCTCATAATGATTTGACCAACCACGCACAGCAAACTGCATTGACACCAAACACCTCTGTAGAACAAAGTTTTCAAGAGTCAAATGTAGTGATGTAATTTTAATACCCAACTAATGAAAACAAAATTAACACTTCTTATTAAACTTCTGATATGTAGGTTTTCTTTTAGGAAACAATGTGTTGTGGCTTTGGTCTGTTTAGGAAAAAAAAGGTATTTAAAATTGCGTCTCCAAGGGCAAGCAGAGTGCTAATCTGTCTGTTTATGTTCGTGTGTTCCCAACAGGAGATCTGCAGACGGCCCGAGTTCATCGTAGATGGAGCCTCTCGTACCGACATCTGTCAGGGAGCTCTGGGTAAGTCCCTCTGGGGGACTGCTCATCTGTGTCGGGGTTGCTGTGTGATTCTGCTCGTGGAGGGGAAAAAGAGAGAATGCTTGCAAACTGGTTAAATTTAAATATGGAGGCTGAAAGGCTGTCTGGTGCAGATAGAATCTTAGACGAGCAAGAATGTTGGTCATGAATAAGTAAAGCCTTCATCTCTTTCTCTTGAGTGCTGTACAACATTGTTGAGACATTGAACCTTTAATTAAACTGAAGTTTTATTGAATAATAAACTATCATTGACCTTCTAAAAGTCTAACTTCGTTGGTTGTTTATAGGAAACAAATGGGACAAAATGAGGTTTCACCATTAGACTTTGGGAGAATTCAGAAATATTCTATGCAAATTTGGTTGCACAGAAATAATAATTATAAAAAGTTAAACATGAGGTTAACCTGTTTAAAATGTGCAGTAGATGAATGTGATGAATGATGTCCTGAATGTACAGCACCTTGTGAATTTATTTCTGTGAAAGTCGCTATATAAATAAAACTTTACTTGCTTACTAGCTAGATGGTTTGGTTGGGATAAATTTAAATGAAAATTACAATAGGCTGAGTTTGAGTACAAGTATCTTAGTTTGGGTTTGTGCTGGTAAGTAAAGTTTTATTTATATAGCGTCTTTCATAGAAACAGATTCACAAGGTGCTGTACAATCAGAGGCAAATCAAAATATATACAATCAGAACAGGATATATAAAAWTTTTATACCTAGTACGTACTGAGCTAGAACCTAAATATTACAAAATGACTTTTAAAAACACTTTTATTTTACTTAAAAACAAGCTGGTTGTCCTTCCTTATCAACCTCCAGACTGGATCAAATCAAATATACAGCATGATAGACCGTAGCTGCGTTCATGCGCAAATTAGAATTTCGAAAATAAATTTGCATAATGGAAACACATCAGTTTTGAAAAAACATCCCCTTTTTGACAATGTTTTTGTGCTAGGATAAGGTTGATGGGTGATGATGAACGCTAATGTTGTGGGTAGCAATGTTTGTAATGATTTATCGCAAGAACAAACATATTCATGCATGACTTTAATAGCATTTCTTACTTAATGGAAATGCCGCAATTACGAAACTGTTTTTTCGACATTAACAAAATATCGACAGTTTTGTGCACATTTGACATGGAAACACAGCTCTTGTCTCAGTTCAGGGTTCGCAGCTGACATAGGGCACATTTGTCGGATGCATGCATCGCTGCACCACATCCTAGGCTGTCCCAATTCTCGTGCTCCTATTCAGGCAGCCTACAAATGTGGCCAACAAAACCCCGAAAATGTAGGCTGCATCTAATGGCCCCTTTCCACTACCACCTCCACAGCACGATTCAACTTGGCAGAACTCTGTTTAGCAAGATTCGAGTGGTTTTCCATTCACTTCAGTAACAGCTCTAGTAGGTGGGTTCATTGTATAGTTGGGAGGTCCCAGAGTTTGAAAATTGCCTTACCAGCAGGTGGCGGTTATGCTTCAAGGCATTTGCCAGCCACCGTTAAAGACGGTAGAGGAAGACCCTGAAAAGATGCGCAACACAATGGAGGACATGTTTAATTTTTTTATTGCTAATGGCGGATCGGGTTGTTGTGAGAGTAGCTCTTATATGAGGCGACCAATGACTCCACCCCCTAACCCATCAGTGACGGACAGTCTTCTGATGTTGCGTTTTCAGGCCAGCACAGTACACTTGGAACCACTTGGAACTCAGCTGTGGTAATGTGGAGTGAAACACATTAAATGTCTCCCTCTTATTGTTTTCAAAACATGACCAATTATCTTAGTTTAGCCACTTTGAATGCAAAGTTGCTGTGTGTAACCATTCATCTTCTCTTCATCTGTTTGTTGTTTTAATCTGCATTTGCACTCTTCAGAATTTATTTGCATAATTTCCAGCATATAATTAATGACTTGTTCTTTTTAATACCCTTTAAAAATGCCACCCTCTGTGTGCTAAGTGACTGACGACTAGTTTTTCATGGCCAAATGAAACTCTTGACCAAAGCCTCTCACAAGCAGCTTTATTGCAAAATAACCACAAAAATGTAATTTCTTTAGGACATTTGTTATAATTAACTTTCCAAAATCTGAAAATTGTTTGTTAGAGGATCCATCAACTTACAGTATATCCAGGGGTGAATTTGTTAATAAGATGATTAGTGTCGACACAAGCCAATGCATTTTTGTACACCACTTTAAGTGTAAAAGTGGAGTTTACTAAGTAAGACATTACAACAGAATACTAAATAATAAGAGAAGCCTAGTCCTGACCTTTTGATATTAATATTCTAGAAGTGCTTGTATACAAACAGATAAATCAAAATGACAACAAACTCCTCCCATTGAAAGGCTTCTCTTCTCAACACTTGAGACTCAGTGGAGCAGATCTGTTAGTTACCAACCCCGTCTGTGTGTGTGGTGACACTATAAGACTGTCAAATAGGCTTCTTCCTGATCTCAATATGTTTAAACTAAAGCAACTCGCTCAAACCCACGGGGTGAACCCTGTTGAGTGACTTGAGGTGGTTCTGAGTTTCGTGTCTTGCCTCATAGTCCAGTGCTGCTCCCATTTCCAGGAAGACAAGGTTTCTGTTGTCATTGTTTGAGACTGTTTACTTCACAGTTTCTAACAGGTGTTTTCTGGTTTCACTATTGTTTTCCTGTTCAAGACTTTCCAGGCTTTATACAACCCCTGGCAAAAAGTAAAGAATCACCAGTCTTGGATGAGCACTCATTCAGACATTTCATTCTTTTAAACGTAGATCAAAAACATGATACAATAATAAGATCATTCCAAAGTGCACTTGTTGGCTTTCAGGAGCACTCAAAGAAATGAAGAGAAAACATTGTGGAAGTCAGTGAATGTTACTTTTATTGGCCAAGCACAGGGAAAAAATATGGAATCACTCAATTCTGAGGAAAAAGTATGGAATCACTCAAATTGGAGGTAGAAAATAAGGACACACCCAGTCAATTTCCTTTCCCTAAATGGACACCTGCCTCAGATTAGATCTGCTCGTTAGTCTGCTGTTAAAAACACCTGCAGTCATGACACCTTGGAGGGCTGCTGGACGAATTGGAGTGGCAAGAACCATGGCTCCAACAAGAGAAATGTCTCTTGAAACAAAAGAGAGGATTGTGACACTTATTGAAGAAAGTAACTCTTCACGCATAGTTGCTAAAGATGTGGACTGTTCACAGTCAGCTGTATCCAAGATGTGGACCAAATACAAACAGCATGGAATGGTTGTTAAAGCCAAGCGTACTGGTAGACCAAGAAAGACATCAAAGCATCAAGACAAACAACTTAAGGTCATTTGTCTTGAAAACCGAAACAGTACAACTAAACGGATGACGCTTAAATGGGAGGAAACTGGAGCCAATGTATGTGACCGAACCGTAAGAAATCGCCTAAAGGAAATGGGATTTCAATACAGGAAAGCTAAAAGAAAACATCATAGTTTTTTCCTCAAAATTGAGTGATTCCATATCCTCCCCCCCTTGTGCTTGGTCAATAAAAGTAACATTCACTGACTTCCACAATGTTTTCTCTTCATTTCTTTGAGTGKTBCTGAAAGCCAACAAGTTGCACTTTGGAATGACCTTACTATTGTATCATGTTTTTGATCTGAGTTTGTTTTACAGAATGAATGTCTGAATGAGTGCTCATCCAAGACTGGTGATTCCATACTTTTTGCCAGGGGTTGTAGCAGGGCTATTCAACATGGGCTGGATGGAGCCAAATATATAAAATAAATTTTAATTCATTCGAGAAAAAAAATACTCATTCAGTGCAAATAAATAAATTTAAAAGGTAAAAGAGAATTATTTTACATAATGCAGCCCTGTGCATTATTTGTAACCCTTGATATCAAATTAACAGAAATAAGGCAATTTTTATGTATTTCTAAGCCTAGGTTATAAAACACCATTTAATACACTATAGATGGATAAACAGTAGGGGGTCCTTGCTCTGTTTCTCTATCAGTTTTAGTGTTTTAGACGGAAAAATGTGAAGACCCCTGCTTTAGTGAATATTGGCGTTCAGCCTTTTTCAGAAATGACATTTATTTGAAATCAATGTTCAGTAACTTGTTTGTATGAATGTTATTACATCATCAAATGTCCCATGAGAAGATGGTTTAAACAATTTATGGATTTTACAGGAGGAATAAAACGGTCTATTTTAATCTCCAGGGGACTGCTGGCTGCTGGCAGCTATCGCCTCGCTGACCTTAAACGACACCCTCCTCCACCGAGTGGTGCCTCACGGACAGAGCTTCCAGCATCAGTACGCTGGCATCTTCCACTTTCAGGTAGTCTTTCCATTTCCTGTTTCCATGCAGCACATGGAGGAACATTGACAGCTTTTTTTGTTTGTAATGATTCTGTCTTGTTTCACTTTTAGACTCACTTTGGTACTAACTGATTTGTATTGATTCTTTAATTAAAGCTATGATGAAGTCTTGTTTTAGACATCTGTTTATGTTGTCTGTCTCTAATGACTGAGCTCTGGTTCCTCCTGCATTTGTCAGTGGTTCTGGCTTTTGTTTCTAATTAAATTGGAGAACATAATTAGATAAGCAAACATCTTTGTGTGCTACTAAGTGTCTTACTGCAGATGGGTAATGTCAGAGGGAAAACTGATTGATTGGCTAAGCTAGTTGGCAGGATTTTGCCAGTTCCTTGAGCTGTAGAGGAATATAGTTTTTCACTTTTTTTTTGTCACTTCAGTAGAAAATGAAACCAAATATTATTAGTTTATTTAGTTTATTTATTTCTTCATCATCAGTGACTTTTTTTTAAAGTGAAGAGAAAATAGAGAGAAAAACAGAGAGAGAAGCAATTAAAAAGATTGAAATAGCGATTAGAAGTATATTAAATATACTCCAACAAAACACAGGACCACACACCCAACATCTGTCCGCTCACCTGAAAAATAAATGGATAAATACATGGAGGGCATATATAAAAATATACACATACCCATACATATATAAAGATATACATACATACATGCCTACATTCATAAATATTGTCAGTATATACACACAAACATATATACACACTCAGTGACCAGTCAGAACCCCCGGATCAGAACACCTGTTTGTGAGCAGTTGTGAACATGTGTGTATATACAAGATTTCTCCAATGGAATATTTAATAGTGACTGTGGAGGATCGGAGACCCAACTCCCAAGACACGAGGCAGACATAGGGAAGACCAGAGCCCAAGGGCCCGAGAGGGATCCCGAGCGCAGAGTCCCAAGGGGCACCCGCACGGGATGATCCGCCCACCCACCCCCCAGATCAGACCATAGGGGAGAACTGGGAGAGTCCCCCCAGTGACCACACGCATAGCCCCCGGGGCCAGCAGTGACAAACTCATGGGCCCCACTGGCACCCGCCATACCAGAGCAGATCCAGGAAAGGGCACAGAGGTCCGGGCCCCCAGGGCGCACCCCCTCCAGGCCAAAGCCCGACAGGGCCAGAGGCCCCGAGCCCCAGCAGGTAGTCACCAGGCCAGGCCGGCACACACCTCAGCGGCCAGCCCCATGCAGGATTGTGGCCCTCCAGGACAAGGATTGGGCACCCCTGGTTTACACCAAACAAAGCCTGGTTGTTTCTGGAAAACCTACAGAAACTTGAAGACCAGCCTTTTTGATTTTGTTTAGTAAACTCAAACAGCAGCTGAGACGAGGTGAAGTATGGCAAGCAGTTGTTTTGTTAATTTAATTTTACTTTTGCAAGACATATATTATTATTTAATATCACAGATATTAAGCCTTGTTTCTCTGGTGGTGGTGGGTAGTTTTAAAAATGCTCTTAATGAACTGTGACCCTCATACTGCATACTGAATACACCCCTATATCATGTAATGTAAAAATAAAGCCACTAAAGAAGTGTGGACCATTCAAAGTATAATCGTAATGCATGTGAAAGCTTTTTTATAAAGTGTATGTGTTTATGAACCACCCTAAAGGTTTGCATGTCTGCAGGGTGATGTGAATCATTGTTTCCAAGAAAATCCAGGTGTGGCTTTAGTACCTTTTTTATTTTTATTTATTTATTTATTTATTTATTTATTTATTTATTTATTTATTTAAAGAATTCTTTAAGTCTTGGAGTAACCCCACCCAAATATCTCATTTGGATGGTTTGAGCTTAACTTTTCTAAGAAAAGGTTTCACTTGGTTGAAAGATGACTTCGTAGAAGTTCTGAGGCTACCAAACAGGCTTTGGTGGAGTTGAAGGGTGGAAACACTCTGTATATTTTTGGAATTTTTCCGTGGCAGTTTAACAAAACACTCCTAAACATTTATTTGCTTTTGTTTTATAGTGTGTGTGTAGGCTATAACAAATTAAGTAAGTTCCTTTAAGATAAGTCAAGAATGTTCCAAATGTTTGTTTAATTTTGGTGTGGAAATCAAATAAAAAAGATACTGAAAGTTTTCACTTAGGAAAAGAATAATTTCCTTCCTTAGAATAGCTGTGAGCTGCAGACAGCTTCTTAGGAGCTTCTGTTTTTTAATTGTTGTGTTTTAAAGTATCTGATGCATATAGCTGAATGAAAGAATAACCTAAAACTAAAACATGTTTTGACTGGTAACTTTATTTGTCTGCAATGTCTCTGATTGGAGACAAGTTAATCATTGCAGGCAATGCAGTGTGTTTCTTGGAAAGCTGAACAGTTGGCAATTTCCTGTAAACACTTGTCAACACTGGTAAAACAGGACTTAATTTCCTCCCACAGCCCAGTGCAAATCTATGCATTTAAACTCACACACAGTACTGTTGGACCGTATCTAACTTGGTGTCAATATATCTAAAGCAGATCTATTATTTAATACCTGTTAATCCTGTTTTGTCATAGTAAGCAGTTGTATTGTTTTGCATAAACTTTTTTTATGGTTATTTGTGAAAAACGAAAAAAAAAAAACCTTTTCTGTCGTTGCTGCTTTTTTAGATTAATTTTCCTAATTTAAGTTGCTTCATATTTAGTGATGGATTACACTGCAAAAATTGTCCATCTAACAAAGTTTTAAAATCTTATATCCAGCTAAAAAAAGTCTTTTTGATCTTGTTTTGAGACTGATTTACTAAACAAGAACTGATTGTGTAAGAATAATAACCTTGTTTTCAGAATGTGTAAGGTTATTTGTCTTGTTAGCCTGAAAATTTGACTCAAATTAAGTCAAATGTCTGCCAATGAAGTAAGAAAATTTTACTTGGTAAGATTCTAGAAATACTTGATTTGACTAAATTTTTTCTTATTTCAAGAATCTTACAAAGTAAAATTTTCTTAATCCATTGGCAGACATGTTTTACTTAATTTGAGTCAAAAATTTTCACAGCTTCCCTACAAGATGAGGATTCGTAAATTTTTTTTAAGCTGCTATTTTTACTTGCCTAACCCTGATTACTCACCAAAAATACCTTCCAAATCTACACCCAGTCAACCTGAGGGAAACCTGGATTTGAGTAACATTACATCAGATAATTTCATGGAAACAAACACTATGTGTCAAAACGACTTAGACAACAGAGCCCCACAGGCCATATAGTATCTCTTGTATATCGGTATCTCCGGTCCTGTCAGTAGAACCGGTCCTGCTGCTTTGTAATATGAACACACATGTTCTGCAGTGTTGCTATCTCTCGCAGGTAGCTGCCTCTTATCAGCTGAACTTTGTCAGAAGCTATTTATGTGCAGTGTGTGTATTTGGCTTCATACACAAAGCTAATATTTGATTGCAGTGGTTCTGAGACAGACGTCGTAAACCCAGATGGCTCTCTTTGCCAATAATGCCTGGTGCACGCGGCAAGATAATTGTGCCGATGTTTGGCCCGACTTTGCCCTTCTGACAGTTTTAAGGGAGCTCAGATTATCGTGTTGGCTCTAAAGATAATCTTGAGATATTCCTGCCGTGTGTGGTGTGTCATCTAGTCGGCTCGGAATAATATCGGCACCTCTCCAATCGGGAACATTCAACATGTTTGATTGTCTTGGCTCAGTATCCCAGAGTGTGTGGTGTTCCCCGAGAAGAAACGAGCTTACAGCTTGTTGAATGTGACGTGTGGCCAATCAGAAAGTGAGGTGACCAAAAACACGGAGAGGAATCCAAAATATAGAACAGGAAGCAGCCATGGTGCACCAGATTAGTTTGCTGGACGCTTCTGGAATAAAACCAAAAGAGGTCTCGATTGACCACAATTGCTTCTTCCTGATCGTTCATTCTGAACTCACGTTTGATCTCAAGGTTGATATTTCCCGTCTGACATCTGAATGTTGGTGAGTGAAATCTGTTGTTCGGTGTGTTGAATTTTGCCGTGTGGCTGTACACCACACCCTGTAGGACCAAACTTGTTATCTCTGGAGACACCCAGTCATTGAAAATCAACCAACAGTTTAAAAATCTTGCCATGTGAACCAGTCCTAACAATCTTCAGCTCTTTCTGGGGATCCCAAAGCATTCCCAGGTAAGAGAGAATTCATAATCTCTCCAGGCAGTTTTAGATCTCTCCTAAGGTCTTCCTTCTAGTGGAAAACCTCCAAATGCCGTATCCCAGTGCCAGATGCCTGAACCATCTTGGCTAATTCCTTTCGATGCAGAGGATTGGCAGACCTCCAGAGGTGCTCAGGACCCATGCCACTGATGTGCTGTCACCATAGCAGAAATTGTCTGACCCACACCATGCACTAACATGTCGGCCTAAATGCTGAACACAGAATGATGGCCCTGGTGGCACACACGTAGTTCTGTGATGGCATGCCATCTTAAAAACATTGCAATCATTGCCAGAACTTGCCCACATCCAGTTGACAAACCACGTGCCATGCCAGCAGGGCCAGCTTGACACCAGCTCTGGCCCACACCTGTCTGCTTTGTGGGTTGAAATGTGCCTGAATACCATATCAAGACCCTTGTAAAAACAATCCACAGTTTGGCAATTTTTAATTGTTATAGTTTGGTTATCATTCAGTGTAAAGGGTACCAGTTGTGAAGCGCACAAACGTAGGCATTTAGCACTAATTCCATCCTCTCGGCTGAGCTTGCTTTGTCACTGAGCCCTCTGAGCTGATCTGATTGTATTTGTTGCAGCGGGTGCTTTGCCAACCACACCGTCAGCAAAAAGGGAGAGACACTGACTGAGAGAAAACATGAAGAGAGGAACAGGGAACACGGGCGAAGCTCTCGCACATCATAGTCTCACATCGCACGCCCGGTTACAGAAACGTAATGTTAAACACAAACACAGATGAAACTATTATCCTCCAGGGATCCCTGATGTCAGGCTGGCTGCTCAGTCATAAAGGCTGTTGGAGCAGAAACAGGCAGCATGACAAACTAGCTGCAGTCCCACATTCTTTATGCGAACACACACACTCATTCAGGAGCGATGGAAAGCTATCAGTTCCCCAGTCTTAATTTGAAACCTTGCCTCTAGTGGTCTGCTTCTGTAAGAGAGAAAAAGATGATGCATTTCTCTCTATTATGGACCGTTGTGCCGTCTCATGGGACACAGTCGGGTCAATAAAACCCATTACATTGACACACATGGATGAAATGACTGGAAATGTTGCTTCACTTTATTACAAAAGGCTTGGAAATACAACGGGTAAAATAAGTATTGAACACGTCAACATTTTTCTCAGTAAATATATTACTAGAGGTGCTAATGACATGAAATTTTCACCAGATGTCTGTAACAACCCAAGTGATCCATACATACAAAGAAATCAAACCATAAATGTCCAGAAATGAAGTTATTTGTAATAATGTGGAATGGCACAGGGGAAAAAGTATTGAACACACTTACTGAAATTTATCTAATACTTTGTACAAAAGCCTTTGTTGGCAATGACAGCTTCAAGACGCCTCCTGTATGGAGAAACTAGTGGTATGCATTGCTCAGGTGTGATTTTGGCCCATTCTTCTACACAAACAGTCTTCAAATCTTGAAGGTTTCGTGGACCTCTTCTATGAACTCTGATCTTTAGTTCTTTCCATAGATTTTCTGTTGGATTCAGGTCAGGTGATTGGCTGGGCCATTCCAGCAGCTTTAGTTTCTTTCTCTGAAACCAACTGAGAGTTTCCTTGGCTTTGTGTTCGGGCTCATTGTATTGCTGAAATGTCCAGCCACGTTTCATCTTCATCATCCTGGTAGATGGAAGCAGATTTTTATCAAGAATGTCTCTGTACATTTTTCCATTCATCCTTCCTTCAATTATTTGAAGTTTGCCAGTACCATCTGCTGAAAAACAGCCCCACACCATGATGTTCCCACCTCCAAACTTCACTGTTGGTATGGTGTTTTTGGGCTGATGTGCAGTGCCATTTGACCTCCAAACATGATGTGTATTCTGGCATCCAAACAGTTCAATGTTGGTCTCATCTGACCAGACTATATTCTCCCAGTATTACACAGGCTTGTTTAAATGTTGAGCAGCAAACTTTAAAGGAGCTTCAACATGCTGTTTCTTCAGCAGTGGAGTCTTGTGTGGTGAGCGTGCATACAGGCCATGGTGGTTCAGTGCATTACTTATTGTTTTCTTTGAAACAAACGTACCTGCTAATTCCAGGTCTTTCTGAAGCTCTCCACAAGTGGTCCTTGGCTCTTGGACAACTCTTCTGATCATTCTTTTCACTCCTCTGTCAGAAATCTTGCGAGGAGCACCTGGTCGTGGTCGGTTTATGGTGAAATGATGTTCTTTCCACTTCTGAATTATGGCCCCAACAGTGCTCACTGGAACCTTCAGAAGTTTAGACATTCTTCTGTAACCGATGCCATCATTATGCTTTGCAACAATAAGGTTGTGAAGGTCTTGAGAGAGCTCTTTACTTTTACCCATCATCAGATGGTGCTTGTGTGATACCTGGCCATCATCTGGGACTGAACCAGCTGATATTAGTTTGCACTGACAAGGGGCAGGCTTGCTTTCTAATTACTGAGAGAGTTCAGCTGGTGTCTTGGCTTTCCATGCCTTTTTACACCTCCCTTTCTTCATGTGTTCAATACTTTTTCCCAGTGGCATTCCACATTATTACAAATAACTTCATTTCTGGACATTTATGGTTTGATTTCTTTGTATGTATGGATCDCTTGGGTTGTTACCRACATCTGGTGAAAATTTCATGTCATTAGCACCTCTAGTAAYATATTTACTGAGAAAAATGTAGACGTGTTCAATACTTATTTTACCCGCTGTACATGTGCACGAGTGCAAGCAGCCTGTGTACATGCATGCAGATGTTTTCCATCATTACTAGTAATTTACRCCAGCATCATCGTTTTTTCTTGTCTAAATGCTGACTCAACAAACCTACTTGCTATTTGTGTTGTGTGCATTACTATTTTATGTGGTGTTTTTAACCATTTTCAGCTTTTAGCTAGCATGTGGCTACTTTTAGCTTTTAGCTAACATTTTGCCAATTTTAGCTTTAAGCTAGGCTTTTGTAACTTATCTTTTTAATTCTGCCTTTTTTGTCTCAACTAGCCTTTTGGTACTTTTTGGTACATATTTGCTATTTGTATTGTGTGCAATAATATGGGACATTTTAACAATTTTTAGCCTTTAGCTAGCACTTTGCTATTTTTAGCTTTTACTAACATTCATGTTCTGGCTCGCATTTGGCTGCTTTTGGTTTGTCCCCAATTTCAGCTGTTTCACCATATTTCTTCAGTCATTCAGCTCTCATCTCTCACCCTGCATTGTCACAAAATTGCAATTGCTCCAGTTTGTTTAAATTTGTTTTGAGAGGATCTTCTTGTTAAATGAGCATGTTTCTGCTCGTCCTTGATCGTAGCGCTGCTGGGTTTTTCTCTGTATAATTGGAGATCCTTTTAATCCTCTGGATAGATTACTAATACCGGAGTGAGCCACCCCTAAGCCTTGTTATGAGCTGCGAAGATCCTAATCTGTTTTAGTGAGGAGAGGAAAGCCGTCGTGTGAACCAGCGAGGCAGGCAGATAAAAAGAAAGTATGAATTATAAAAAAGGCAATCTCAGCCCCGTCTGTCAGAAACGAATAAAAGTTGGGCAGAATCTTTTGCTATTCTTACAAAGCTCACATTTCACACAGGCAAACGGCTGACAGGTTGTTGTGTCTCATAAGCTTGAAGGCTGTGGACACTGCAGCAAGTCGTGACACCGATGTGGTGAGAGTTAATTTCTCACAGTAAGACTGGGAGGGAGTTTTAGTTCCTTTGGTGTGAGTTTTTTTTTTTTTTTTTTTTTTTTTCAGTGAGCCGTGCTATGACACGGCTACTCCTGTATGTATATTCAGCTCTGCAGGGTTTGCAGAATTTCTGCTGCACGTTAAATACAGACACTGCCAAAAAAAAAGAACATTGTGTAGAGTCATGGTAACGCCCATAAATGAGGGCTAAATGCTTCAAGGTGCAGCTAAACTTCAGCAGCCAACAAACAGTCCTCCAACCCCGCCTTCCTTTCTCATTTTGCAAATGGAATTACATTGACAAAGAAATATGTCTCTCATAAGACTGAGTTACTGCACCAAATGCTCCGAAACCAAACACCCATTCAGCTGCTCTGTTTTCTTTTGCTGCACCAGCCTTTGCAACACGTTCAGTTTTCAAATTAAAAGCCTGGAATTTATTWAAARAATGYGTATCACCTGCTGCAAGAAAWATCAGAGTTGTAGCTGCTTTGGTYRAAGTGAAACCCCAAGATGTCAGTGTGCGTGTGTTGAGGATGACTCTTGGCTACTGCCACATCTAGTTTTACCTCAGTTTCTGTAAAATGCACCGAGGTTTAATAAACTGTGGCGGCCATCTTAAACCAGATTGGCTTCAAAAGTTAGCCAGCTGTTGATTCACGATCACCGAGTGTCTGCTAGAAAGTTTAGTTTTATTTCAACGGCACACGCTGGATCGTATTTTTAATTTAACTGAATTAATGGGTCTCTCCCAACTACTGATCCAGTCCAGCAACAAGCATTGTGAGTAGTTTCTCTTTTGTCCAACAAGCTTATTACATCTTTTAACTCTTGGATTATGCTGCCTCCTGCTGGGCATCAAGCTTTCAGCTACTCTTTGTGCAAAAGGCTCCTGTCTTACACAAAAGAACCCACATATTAAATAAAAATCTGTTTAATACTGATAACATTTTTTGTGAAAATGAAAACCCTCTGTACAAACTGTTTTTTGTCATTTTTTGGGGTTAGCATAAAGCTATGAATAAAGCAGCTTTTAGTTTGATTTAACTTTTATGTTTATCAGAATAAAAAAGTTTCAGATGTTAAGTCAGTCCTCATGTTGCATGAGAAAAGTTTAAAAAGCGTGGATGTGTTTCAACAGGTCTGATTTGGTTGAACTTCTTCTTAAAGCATTTCAGAGAAATCCGCCCTGTGCTCTACTTTGGTATTAAAATCTGAGGCAGGAAAAACTTGTTTGGTTCAGTGAAGGATCCAAACTGTCAGGCGAAAACCCAGAAATAAACAATGTGCTAACACAATGTACTGCTGGGGATGTGGTTAAGTTACAACCACCTGGAGATAAATTGGATCAGAGAAAAGATTTACACAAATTTTGTCTTTTTTAATTTTGTCTTTAAAATTTTTTTGGATATATACATTCTTTTATTAAATAATTCAGTCAGTTTGCTGATTTCTTCTTCTTAAACTTTCTCATTAATCTGAATTAATCAATTTAAACCACAGTAGTTTCTGTGCAGAGCCATGGGATGACCTTTGCTGTGAATTGGAGCTGTATAAACAAACTGCATTGAACTTAATCTATTTTTGTCTCTTCATGCTCTTTTTAGCTTTTAGCTACACATTTCACTTAAAAAATTAGGCGTCAAATTTTTACAATTTTGCAGGAGGACATGTGCCAAAAATCTAGAGCAAAAATGGAAAGTTAAAATGCTCACATGTGTTTAAAAATATATGTTTTTCAGCAAATTTCTAAAACTCATTTGCAAAGTAAAAACAGCTCCGACTGCGTAGAAACGTTGAAAGCTTTTGTAGTAAACTGGTTCTCTGCTCTCTGTTATGCAGTTCTGGCAGTTTGGCGAGTGGGTGGAGGTGGTGATTGATGACCGGCTGCCGGTGAAGGACGGGAAGCTGCTGTTCGTCCACTCGGCTGAGGGAAGCGAGTTCTGGAGCGCTCTGATGGAGAAGGCTTATGCCAAGTAAGACTAGAAGAAAACTAATAACTCCAGACTGAAAATGTCCAAATGGGTTGTTTTTATAGCTCTGTACACCCCACTTGGGCTAGGCTGCACACTGTTGTCGTGTTGGTTCAGTGGTTTGTAGGGAAAACAGATGGACATAGTTAAACTTTTCAGAAACTATTTGCCAAGTTCAGGTACATTTTCAGAAAAATCACTGTGGRAGAAACAAATTAAAAGCTCAAAGTTCTGAGTTTTGTGAAGCAACAATTCTGTAAACAAATTACTATGCTGGACCAACCATTCTCTAGTGACACCCAGTGGTCCCCTGCTGTCAAAAAGAACCAGCAGTGATCAGCTGTAACAGCTCGTCCAATCCTTTTTTTAAAGTGGCAATATCATGTAAAATCAACTTTTTTGAGTTTTATATCATGTTATAATGTTATACTCTCATACAAAACATATCCAAAGCCTTGCTCTGACTCATTCATGCATGTTTGAGAAATCCTGCAGAGTTTTTAGGAAGCCATGCTGAGGAGCAAAA